AATTTTTCTGCCGATACATCAGCGCATCAGGTTTCTTTCCTCCCCGCTGGGCGCTGCTCTGTGTCCCAGCGGGGAGGAGAGAAAGTGTGACAGCCTGGCGAGCGCTGCTGGAGGTGAGCACTGCGAGCGCTGAGCGGCCGGCGTCTGCCCTCCCACACCGCTCAGCCTCTTATCACAGTCCGACAGAGCGGTGTGTGGGCGGAGACAGGCCGCGCTGTCACAGGAGGCTGGGCTCACCGCCCTACACCGCTCGATCAGCCTCCTGTGACAGCGTGATCGCTGAGTGTATTGTACATAATTGAGGACCTGGTATGTAAACTATAGCCTCAATTATGTATGAATTGGAGTGAGCTACATCACCTCCTGTTCATTCATAGTTGTAGTTATAGTAAACATACCATGTCCTCGTGTTATCAATGAATAGGAACACTCATAGGAGGATTCCTGTTCATTGATAACAGGTGACACAGAAAAAGAGATTGAGGACTCTGTGTCCTCAATCTCTTTTTCTATTTTAAAAAGGACAATATCGGGGGTCTGATTAGACCCCCAATATTTCCCCATTCAAAAGTTTATAAAAAATAAATAAAAATAAAATATTTAAAAAAAAATTAAAATAAAAAACATTTTCGGTATCTGTTTCGGCCTGACAATTTTTTTATTTCGGTTTTAAAATTTCCATTTCGGTGCACCTCTAGTTTAAACCCAAAATCTATTTTAAAGTATGTCTGGCATCATGTGCCACTGTATACCCTTTTTCTGGGACTCTGTTGCAAAGTTTTCTACCTAGAGATCCTGCCAGTAACAGCTCTTCCTGTTGCAAGCTGACAGTGCTAAGCCCCTGCCTTGCAATGAGAACATGAGTGTTGTCAGCTTGCCCTGTGCACTTTTCCAGTTTCCTGCTGAGCTACCCATCAGGTCTAGCAAATAAGCAGCCAAACAGCCAGATGAAAAAGTGCACACGGAAAGCTGAAAATGCTGATGCAAAATGTACTGTGTAAGGAGTCAATTTCAGGACTGGATAGACAGAAATACAAAGCCTTTGACAGGTAAAATAGCTCCCTAATATGTATTTTATCTGTGTAATTAGCAGTTTGCCTGGAGTTCGGCTTCAATAATAATGCTTACTAGAGCTGCACCAAAATGAAAATTTCAAAACCGAAAGAAAAAAAAAAAAAAATGTCAGACCAAAAACAGAAAATGTTTTTTTATTTTAACTTTTTCAAATGTTTTAAATATATTTATTCATTTTTTATTAAATATTTGTATTTATTACTTTACTTTTAGGGCAGTGGTTCTCAACCTTTCTAGGGCCGGGACCCCTTGGTAACATTTGCCAAGTTGTGGTGACCCTCAAAAGGTAAAATTTAGGGATGACGCGGCTGCTGCAGCGACATCTGGAGGCGTGGCAGGAGAACTGACACTGCTGTGCTAGGAGAGAGCTGAGGAGGACTCTCACCTTGCACAGAGACCCACAGGTTGTGAACCACTGCTATAGGCAAAGACAGGACTGGGCTCTGCAGCTGGAACTAGAAGAATTGGATTTAAAGTGTGTGGCTATATAACGTATGAGGTACATACTCCGCAGTACTGTCACTGATAGGGATGGGCTCGGGCGTGTTCGCAGCTCCACGTGCCGAGCCCGCCAGGAAGCTGACAGTGCGCAGTGCCAATCACAGGCACTGAGACATTTCCCGATCTCTGCAGCTGCGGACCAGGAAAATGGAATGCATAGCTAGAGGTGTGTTTTACATAAGTCTATAGGAATCTAGCTATGCATTACTATGGTGGGGTTTTTTTTCTGACTTACGGCGGCCCCCGATTTAAAAAAACCCCCAAAAAAACAGAGCAGAGAAAGGTCCTCAATCCCCCTGCACCCCCTGTTATAAATGAACAGTAATCCTCTATGAGTGCTCCTGTTCATTCATAACATGAGAACATAGTATGTTTACCATGTCCACAATCATGAATGAACAGGAGGTGATGTAGATCACTTCCCATTCATTCATAATTGAGAATATAGTTAACATACTATGTCCTCAATTATTTACAAACACTCAGCGATCACTGACTGCTTGTACCCGCTCTACATCCTGGCACGCTGCCACAGGAGGCTGAGCGAGCGGAGCTCAGCCTGCTGCGACAGCGATGGTTGTCTCCACCCACACTGCTCTCCTCTGATATGTCACAGGAGGCTTAGTGGTGTGGGAGGAGAGACGCCAGCCGCTCAAAGCGCTCTCCTCCCACAGCGCTCGGCCTCCTCTGACCGTTTCTCTCCTCCCCGCTGGGACACAGAGCAGTGCCCATCAGGGGGGAGGAGAGAAAGAATGGATGCGCCGCTGTATCGGTCAGAAAATGGCACTTTCTGGATTATGCCAAAAGTGGCATTTTTGGCCGATATATATCGGCGCATTCCTAATGCTTACACAAGCACATTAAAGTGACCCCATCAGGTTCTTAAAAAAATTAAGCTGAAAGGTTCAGGTCCCTGCAGGAGAACAGTCAGTATACTTGCTTCTCCAACAGCCTGCGTCTTCTTCTACTCCTCCATTCCAGTGGAGCAGCCTTCATCAGTGCCTGTGGTCAACACATCTCTCAGTGTCCCCTGGCATGTGCCTTCCTCCAACCTTTATGACATTATTAGACTCAGCAGTGGTGTACATGTTGGAGGATGGAGGTACATCACACAACAGGCATCTGAAATCCCCAGAAGTGTCAAATGTCAAAGACACTGGCAGAAGATGCATTAATAGAACAGAACCTAATGGGGTCACATTAAGATACCTTATTAGGTGAATAATGCAGTGATAGCGATAGCAATATAACTAAACTATCTCTCAAGGTCTGCCCAGTGACCATGGTGAAAAGTTCTCTCGTACCTTGACCCTTGAACAACAGGCTACTAGTAAATGTTTTGTTGCATAATAAAAGGAGCATACAGGATACAGCAGCAAAAAAATGGTGCAGAAAAGAAAAAAAGTCTTTAGATTCAGCTACATCCTGATATTTTTCAAAGTTTCTGATTATTCATTAAGACAAAACAAAAGTGATTAGCAAAGCTCTGTAAAACAAAACAACCACTCATATTTTAGTTTATTTTAAGCAGATCAGTTAAATTAAAAAAAAACTACATGAAGACTGATTGCATTGTTTTGGTGGCGATACATGCAAACCTTTAAATTACACTTACCTCCAAGGTTGCAAAAAACATGACTACTTCACCTCGTTCCAACCTTATCATACATGTTTTATGCCTATCTGCTTAATGTAACCCTAGGGGATTTACCAACTACCCCCAGCACACTGCAGAACAGTGCTTAAGGACCACAACACATTGTGACTGGGGGCGAGCTATGGGAAAACCAAATTTTTAAGCAACATTCACCCGTGCCAGTCTTATGAATTGCTCCATGAGGCCAATGTGAACAGCAGCTATACAAAGCAAGAACAGCTGAAAGCGCCCGCAACCGTTCGCATGTAATCAGACATCCAGCAATGAGCTGAGATGCAGAAGCTTGCCCCTGGATGTAGTTTGAGTCCAGGGGCAATCACCCACAAATTATTACAGCATGTCTAAATGGATGAACATGGTTGTGGGAGCTGGTCATTGCTTTATATAGTACTTGATTGTTGGGAGTTTGAACACATCACATACATTTGTTTAAGGTTTT